TTGTTTATGTATGTTTTGTGTTTGTTGTAAAGAATAAAAAATTTTATTAAAAAAAAAATAGATGGGTTGCTATTTCTGGAAATTTTTAATGGATTTTCTTCGGCCAGGACTAGATGATGTTATTTTAAACTTCTGTTTCTGCTTTCCTATGGGAAAGAGTTCATCTGCTGTATTTTAAATTTATCTGATTAAGGTTAAAATAGTTATGTTATCTCTGGTACCTTTTATTAGATTTTTACTGACTAGATTTGAATGATGAGGTTTGGGGGATTTGTTTAATGATAGAAAATTAGATGTAAATGTAAAAGGAAGGAATTCAAGTGGGATTATTAGATCAAGTTTATAATAGGTTGTTATTCTGATAACCCTTAAGGGACTTTTGCTGATTAGGATGGATGATAAGGTTTTAAAGATTTGCTTACAGAAAAAGGAGGATGAAGAGACTATTGTATTTTAAGAGATGGTAATAAATTGTTACAGTTGCTTATACTTGCTGGAACAAAGGGGGAAGTTACATTTTTTTCTTTCTCTTTTTTAAATTTTTTTCTTTACATTTTTTCTTTTTTCTTTTTACCTTTTTATTTTTCATAGTTTGTATCAGTTTTCTCTGTACATGTAATCTTCAATAAAACTATTTAAAAAAAAAAGACACATGGCATGCCCAACTTGATTTCTCTGCCACATTTCATCCTGTTACTCACTGGCCTGATTAATGACTGACAAGTCCCAGCAACAGATTACACATTTTTAATGGAATAAATCCTCTGAGCAACCTTACACTCAGATTTGAAGGTTTTTTTTAGGAAGGACAAATTGCAATAGAGCAGGGGTTCTCAAACTATGGCCCGCGGGCTGGATATGGCCCGCCAGGGTCATTTATCCAGTCCACCCGCCTGATTGGCCCTGCTGCTGTCTGTCAGAAGCGGAAGGGTCAGGGCTGTGTCGGGAGCTGGAGGCGATGCACGAGGAGGGAGATCGTAGAGCTGGACTATTCTACATGACAGGTATGCCAGGTCCAGCGGCTCTCCTCCTCTCATGTTTTTTTCAAACTATAGTCTGGCCCCCCAACATTCTGAGGGACCGTGAACTGGCTCCCTGTTTAAAAAGTTTGAGGACCCCTGCAATAGAGTGTACACACAATCGCACTGCCCTGATGTTATAGTTACTAAATGCTGGAATAAGCATATAATCAGCCAGGAGTTTATATTACTGTTTTATTGACCCCAAACTGTTCTCCTGTCCTTAAACATTCTGTTCCCTACCAGTATTTATTTAGTCAGTTGCACACCCACTGGGCACAGGCCTTTTCAGCTCTGTTTTGGTAGAGATACTATCCTCACAACTGGTTAGTTTCAGAACTAGTTATCTGCATATGCTTAACGTTTTACCTCTTAATTTCATTAGTTTCCTTCTGCACTAACAGATGTGTGCCACCCCTGGTCTCAAGCATAGTAATATGCAGCTCAAGTGTAGGTAAAATGGTGGAGAGAAATCGATGTGTACTGCCAAAGCTTCATTCGTTCCTTTCCTTGGCTTGCTTACCTGGACATTGAGAGGAAGAAAAGAGACCAAACTGTAGTCTTCAATCACTTCTACAAGCTTCTTGTTCAGGCGCTGGTAATTCTTGAAGAAAGGATCTGAAGCCAAGTGGTCCACTAAGTAGGACAGATCGAGAACTTCTGTGTAATAATCTAGATTAAATGCTGTAAGGCAAGTGAAAGGGGAAAGAAATCTTCAGTAAATTCATGGAGAAAGGAACAAGCTAAGCTGTAATGTTTCTTTTCATGTGTACTTGATGGGCAGAAATTCAATCTTTTTCCTGAATGGGAAATGCTCCAATGATTGAATTGTTGTAATTAAAAGAGAATTTGGCAGTTTATTTATGATGAGCAGAGCATGGTTTCCAATTAGTCTCAGCAACAGCTAGCCCTGCTTCCAAAATAAGTATACTTCTGCTAAAAGATTTGACTTCGATTGGAGTAGTAGTTTATCTAGGCAGTCTTCTGACTGACAAAATCTTGGATAAACTTCTCCAACAACCACCCAACTATAAATGAACAATGGCTGCCCTCAGGAGACCCAAGTCATTACCTACACCTTCTGATTTGCTGTGTAATGGGCCCTTAGAAGTTACCTTAATCAGTCCCACTGTTCCCTAAGGTCTATCTGCTCTCACCTAACTTCCCATACTGCTCAATCAGGTCCATTTTGGAGAGGATGTTGACATGGGGCAATTCTACGTGCAGCATCGTGGCGAGGGAAGTGCAGAGAACAGAGATGAATTTGCCAGGGTCTGTGCAGTAATGAGAATCTACCAGATGAACAGCAGCCAGCTACAAAGAACAAACAAAAGGATAGGGGAAGATGAGAAATTAGTGCTATCAGAGCCAAGGCATTCCAATAGTTTAATATATGCAGACAGTTGAGAGCCAGTTTAGTCTAGTGGTGAAGGCTCCAGGCTAGAAAGCAGGAGACTGTGAGTTCTAGTCTCGCCTTAGGCATGGAAGTTGGCTGGGTGACTTTGGGCCAGCCACTCTGAGCCCATGATGTCAGGCTTGGACAACAAGCCAGTTGGTCAATTCCTGTCGCAACCAAATGAATCAACATTCGGTTGATCTGAAAAAAGAAGACCCTGCACTTGTAGGAAAAACGCCAGGAAGAAAAGAAGTATGTAGAAGTGACCTATACAGTAAATGAGGCTCTGTCAGGAGTGGGACTGGAAACTTGTAGTCCTCCAGATTATCCTGAATTATAAGCACTCCCCTACACTGGTCACACTGTGGTTTAGCAACAACTAGAGAGCCACAGCCACAAACTCTTTGCTACATTTCCTACTAGAAGAGATTTCCAATATCATTTTAACAACATTTTAATGCAAGGTAGGCAGTAAATAAAGCATAAGGAAGATTTTCAAATTGAAAGCATATTTGGAACCAAGGTACAGAACCCCAAGATCCCGGGACTCTAGTGATACCACTAATTAACACATTAAAATAAACATATCAATAGCACTGCTAGTGTAGAGACTGTCAGTTAAATTCAGGCTACCACATCTGCCTTGAAGGTTTTTTTTCTTTGCTGCCATCTAGTGATTGTCTGGATTTTTGCAGTCCAGATCAGTCCTAGTTGAATATATCAAGCTCATGAAACTTCTACCAAACATTGCAAAAATATAAGATGTATCATAATATGTTTTACAACTGCTTCACAGCTTGTCACCTGAAACTAGTTTGAAAAGGCAACTGTTATCACACAGCGATTGTGAATTGGGACAGAATGAGGTTGAGGTTTGGCCTTCAGGAATACTCTCACTTTCTCTGGGCCAAACATACCCTGAAATTCCACTTAGCAAGTTGAGCAAAGATGTTTCTCAATGAATTATGATGGGTACAGAGTTCCACTTGTCCAGGGCAATCAAATAAGAAGTAATGTCCTTTCAGTTGGTCCAGTTTCTCCTGTAGCCAGTCAAAATTTGCTTCTAGGTACTCCATGCAGTAGATTAAGCCACCATTGGGGCCAAGTTTCAAATTCTCCATCACATCAGCCAAGGTGATCAGTTCAGAGACATCTACAGCACACTGGTATGGAATCCCTTCGTTTGCTGGGTCCAGGTTCACTACAGCTACCTTGCGCCCAATTGCAGACAGGAATTCCTGCATGCCAAGACAATAGGTGGTTTTTCCTGAGCCGGGAGGCCCAATTACTACCTGACCAAAGGCTAGTGAAGACTGTTTGTGGTTTTCTGCCATGCCGCACGTTTCTTTCTCCTAAAAAACAGACATCAGAAAGAAATAAGAACAGAAGACCGGGATGAATCCATGCTATTATACCTGTGTTTGCTCTCCACCTAAAAGAAAATGATAATCCACTTTTACTGTGTGGCAAACACGCTTGTATGATAAATCCTTGCTACATTCATACTTCACATTTCATGACATACATTTAGAACGTCTTGGCTAGATCTAAAAAGTGGAAGTATTAAAAGCAGATATAACGTATACCAACTGCTCACTCCAAAAGACTGCTAAATTCAAGGTTTTTGCATTAAGTCTAAATCCAACCCCCACGTTACATATTTTTAAATTTTATTTATTTGTTCTTGACATAATTTTATTAAGAATTCTGATTACCATAGTAAAATACAAACTAAACGTAAAGAGAAAGAAAGGATAAAAGGCGCAAGGGAAAAGAAAGAAAAAAGTACATAATAAAGAGAAAAGAAACATATAAAGTGACTTCCAACCTTTATGGTATAAACAAATTTAGTGACTCTTCAGCCCCCCCCATTGTTACAAACAAGGGTCTCTTCATCCCATATCCCATCCCTTACAGCCATAAAGCACCGTCTTTTCAGTCCTGGGGTCAGCAGAAAGTCCCTAAAGGGCTGCCAGAAGTAACAAAAGTTGTATTTATTTGTAATGGAAACCCCCCCCCCCCCCCATGGCTCGGGGAAATAATCCAGATTTGGGTGCTGCTAATTCACTGGGGAGCCCCTCATCTGAGCTCAGACTGGGTAGGGGTCTCTGAGCCTGAAGTTGTTGCTTTTTCCCCAGTGGGAGAGAACGCCCCCTTTCCCGAGAAGGCTGGCGTGGAGAGAGCCGGGAAGGGCGGCAAGAGCCGCAGCCCCTTTTGGCGGGGGAGAAGCCGCCTTCCACGCCACTCCTCGGCTCAGTGCACCGGGCCGCAGCTTGGCAGGAGAGAGACGGGGCTCCGCGGCCACCCGGAGAAGCGCCGTCAGGACCTTTTGGATCTTCGAGGCAGAATCCGCGGATCCTAAAGTTCCACAGGATCCACCTGGGACTTCGCTTTGATGTCTTCTATCGGCAGCCTCCACTCGTTAGGAAGATGACCTCCATGCACGAAAGAGCGCTTGTCTACCCTTTCTTACTTCTACGGTAAACGCACGAAGCCACGCCGAGCCGGGATTGGCGGGGAGCAGGAGGCCGGCGCTCTATCCCGGGCCGCCTCGATGGTAAGCGGAGTTTAACCAGATTGGAAGCAGCAGGCGTCATGTGGAAGCTGCGAGTGTACTTGCCTCAGGAAGCGATCACTGCATGAGCGAGCGACGGGCGCCCCCTGCAGGGTGGGAGGTGCTGCGATGTGGCCAAGTAATAGGAGCCGGTCGTTTTGCTGTTCGCCAGGCACCCTCTAGGGGTGGCCAAGGGGAAGAGCAGCAAGAGCAGAAAGAAGGAATGACCTGTGGAAGTGGGGGGTGCCTCTCTTTGCAAGTCGCAAAGGAAGAGGTTTGTCGCTAGTTTGCCACACCAATCATGGCTAAAGGATTATTATACTGCAATGCCAGGGACTAATTTTGTTTGTAGTTAGGTTGCTGGTTTTCCTTGCTTTAATTTTATGTTGTTAACTGTAAGCCAGTCGGAGTCTTTGGAAGTGTTGCTGCATGTAAACTGAAGTATTGCCAACTTTCAGATACGTGGACTTCAACTCCCAGAATTCCCCAGCCAGCAAAGCTGAAAGTAAACTGAAGTATTGGCAACTTTCAGATACGTGGACTTCAACTCCCAGAATTCCCCAGCCAGCAAAGCTGAAAGTAAACTGAAGTATTGGCAACTTTCAGATACGTGGACTTCAACTCCCAGAATTCCCCAGCCAGCAAAGCTGAAAGTAAACTGAAGTATTGGCAACTTTCAGATACGTGGACTTCAACTCCCAGAATTCCCCAGCCAGCAAAGCTGAAAGTAAACTGAAGTATTGGCAACTTTCAGATACGTGGACTTCAACTCCCAGAATTCCCCAGCCAGCAAAGCTGAAAGTAAACTGAAGTATTGGCAACTTTCAGATACGTGGACTTCAACTCCCAGAATTCCCCAGCCAGCAAAGCAATTCTGGGAGTTGAAGTCCACGTATCTGAAAGTTGCCAAGGGTGAGAAACACTAAGGTAGAGAAACTGGCTATAAGAGCAACAATACTGAGCCAGGCTTTTTACTTTCTCTCCCACTGCTGAAATAGATTCCTCTGGGAAAGTACTGTGGGCTGTGTGAGTGTGTGTGTGTGTGTTGGGTGCGTGTGGAGAAGGAAGGGATTTTTATGCTGTGTTCTTTCTTGGCTCGCCCTGCCACACCATCGCACCCACCAGGCAGGTTCTTCCATTGGCAAACAAATGGTGAATTATCTGAATTCCCTTGTGTTGGGAAAAGTCACCTGGCTGCAAAACACCTCCAGGTACCTGTGTGGGAAAATACATTTTTCGGGTGAAGAAAGTAAATTTCTAGAGGCTTCAGATGAATGGGAGCGCCTTAATAAAATCGAAACAAAGAAATTGAGAAAAATGTTTGTATTATAGTACTCTCTATATAATTCATTATAGAGATGCCTTGTTATGTTAGTATTTTACCTCACCCATTTGATTTTACTTTTGTGTTGTGTATTTTTAAATTTTGCTCATCTTTGACCAAATAAACATTACTGTACATAACTCATGGAGTTCAATCTTGTCGGTCAGGTTCACTCCTCTTTTAGTCAGTAGGAACTAAAAGACTTATGCATAACTATTGCTCTTTAATTAACACTGTATCCTAAGCCAAACACCCTTCACTGCAAAAAAAGGCGTATGCAGGACACACCTTAAATCAAGGATGAAAATGCAAGATTTCATATAGACTGATTACAGGGTAGATTTAAGAACTGCGGGCATGCAGAGGTGGTATCAGTAATTACCCTTCAATTAAGTTTACAATAAAGCGCCAAGAAGCAGTACCCAGGGTTGTTTTTTTTTCTTTTAATATAAATAATTAAAACTTGATCTGACTTGGCTATAGTACATGTTTTGTTCAATAATAGACAGCAGTAATAAAAATAATACGAAGAAAAACGTTTGCCATTGCAAAAGCAGGCACAATCTGAAAGTCCTTCCTTGCTGGCAAGTCTTTCAAGAAGAACTGGAATTCTCCTGAACACCATGCCTGGCATGGACAAAGGCCACCTCTTGCCGGTACTTCATGCTGATCGGCAGCTGGCGCCGGAGAAGCTGATCTTCTGAGTCCACAGGATGTGGGTCATCGTAGATGGTAGAAATGAGGCCGCAGGCATCCCTACGTGGCTTCTTGGGTTTGGTGAAAGTCTGGAGTTTCTCACCGTGATACCTAAAGAAAAGCAGAGAATGAGTCAGTCTTCAGGGACGAGGCAGAGAACATCAGCTGCCTTCTCTCCGTGCAATGTTATAAAAAATACAGTAGAGAAAAAAATTCATGAATCTAGCCAATAAAAAAAAATTTAATTGATGCAATCCTTTTGTGATCCTCATGAATTTGAAATAAGGATTTTGGAATTAATTATAAAGAATCCTTCCCATGGGAAAATGCTTATTTTTTAATTAAAAAATAATAATAAGATTTTAAAAATTGGACACTAGAAGGAACTAAAGATTACAATTAAAG